ACGGTGCTAAATCGAAATATACACCGACGCATGGGATTTCCTGACGAAGTAAACGACGAAGAATGAACGTACTTCAGCAGCTACATGCAGGCCGTGAATAAAAGACGGGTGGAAGTGAAACGGAAATAAACCTCCTCGGAGGTCTTCAGTAGCACATTGCATATCAATGAAATGTCTTCTTGCTGTCATACTTACTAGCATAGGCAATTGTGTCAGTAAGAGAAATATTGGCACTAGTTGAGGAACGTACGCCGACCGCTAACGCAACTCATTTCGTCCGCTCCGAATTTGCCTTGGGCCTCATATCTCGGGCCTCTAGATCGACTGTAGCATCTAAAGGTACAGGCACATAGTCAATCCTTTAAAGTCGAGGGGGACTCTAATGACCATTTTCGCCTTACAAACCGTCGTCAGCCAGTCAAAGTTAGGCCCACGTGATGCAATACTGAGCCTCGAAATCGCGACGTTTGACCACAGACTAAAGTAACATCCACTAAGCAACCAGATCGTTGTCTTGCTGGTTTAAGTTGGCATGTATTAACACTCGTTGATGAACATTCACTGTACGCCAAGGGAACTGCGAACAGAAGATGTGCTCATTGAAGCACACAACATCACAATAAATATTCAATGCATTTTTAAAGTCGACCAGCGGTAATTCGATATGCAGTTCGTGCCAAATTGTACAATTCATGTGTTAACTGATACTTGATTGGTAACACATACAGTTAATTTATTTAATTTTTTGAAGTTAAACATGAATTCACCATAAACAAAGAGAACAAAGTTAAGAAGAGTCAAAAACAGTCATGTTGGAGGTATTTCGCGTCCATCAAAGTCGCCAAATTAAAAAAAACCGTCCTTCTCAGGCAAACTCCTTGGTTCCAATGGTTTCCCTGATCCAGTCCAGATGAGACTGTATCTTTGTGCTCATGGCATACTTGCCTGCACAAAGGAAACTTCCACGGTTGATGATTCCATAGAGGATCCATTGTCCTTGAGCATCGACACAGTTGACGCCAGCACCGTTTTCTCCCCAACAAGGATTCTAGAGGAGAGAAACTTTATAAAATTAAGCGGTGCAAGTACTTGAAATGTTTGAAGACACGGCTATAATGACAATTAAAGTGACGTCTCGTGTTGCCTGTGACTGATCGACAACGTTTGCTCCCATAGAGCCATTACTAGACACCCAGTATTTTGACATGCACAGGTCAGTCATAAACGGTCCATACAAGCCCTCAATCACTTCCCATAAATGTGCTTTTTTTTAAATACACAGTGTTTGGTTTGATTGTTTTAAAGCGACGTGATTTGAAGGACACCTAATTGTTCGTTTAAATGAAATTATTTTGCCCAAATGGTCGATAGAGGAGATAAATTGGTGAACAATGTGAATCGCTTGAATTCAACGATGATACCCATGTAAGTATTCAGAAAGTCAAGTTAGGCGAACGAACGTTTTCGATTAATTCATCATCAGGCAATGCAGTAATATAAGGGAGGCTAGAGTTAACGAAAGTTTTAGGCAAACCAATGGCGTTGTTGGCAGCTTTTAACAAAAATTAAAAAACCCACAGCAGCTCCCGTTCCGAAGCAGGCTTGTCCTTCAGGCTGAGGCTCCTCTGTATCCGATTGGCAGGAATCTTGCGTTTCAAGGTTCAATCTGCCCTCCATGAGG